CCTGGACTGGGCCCTTAAATAACCTCTCTGACCTCAGCAGCCGGTCCAATCGAAGCTGCCAATACTGGCTACAAGCCGACCAATCTACAAAGCATCCCTGGCTACCTGGGCCCGTGCGCAGGGCCGGGCCTTTCCCCCCTGCTCAGGTGACTAGAGCATCGCCTCCCAGGCGCCAGGCTTTTGTCATGCAGACAAGGTGGGAGATCCCCGCCCTGAGGGATTCAACACCAGCCTCTCAGGCTGGTGGAGACAGATCTCTGGAGAGGGGCTCCGACTGGGGCATTTCTGCCACAGGCACCACTACCATGGAGGGAAGGTTCAGGGCCTCTGGCAGCTCAGAACCTGCTGGCAGCTTGCCCTCCGGCTGTAGGAGAGGTGTGCAGGCTCTGCTGGGGTGTGAAAAAATCAATAAAAAGAATCAAGGATCAGGCCCCTCACTGCTTCTGCCTTCAGTCGGCCTCTCCCATTGTGGGGAGGTGAGCTATCAAAGGCTGCAACGTTATAAATAGCGACATTGCAAACTAAACTACATGCAGATGTGGTTTAGCTTGCAACATAGCAAACTCATTTAAATTGAAAACCCCCCCCACACGTGTGCACCGTGACAGAAACTGCAAAAACAGCTAACTTTCATCATATGTACAAGTGCCCCTAAGAGCCTGAACCTTATGCACTCCTTTTAAAAATTAGTCAAACATAGTGATACTTGGCATTACCACTTAAACAAAAAACCCTAAAAAACACAGGTTGGATGTGTGAATCATCGCACACAATGATAAGCATTTCCAGACTGCTAAAAATATGGATCCATTTGTTACATTTGCAGTGTATAAGAGTGTTCTAGTTAACAGAAGCTCCCTTTCCCCCTTATTTGGTAAGTGTCTGTTTTCTTCATGGAAAAAGGTTAACAAGGGGATGCCTCAAGATAACTAGGGAGTGATGAGTACTGAGGTAGTGCAACTTACAGTTTACAAAAAGGAGTTCAGGATGGTTGGAAACAGGGAGGAGTGCAAGGAACTTTAGGGAAACCTAAAACAGCTAGGTGAATGGCCAACAGAATGGCAAATGGTACTCAGTATTGGAGAGTGGAGAAGGAAATTGAACTACTTTGGTACTCTGTAAGTTTTCAAAAGTAACTGCATCAAAAGTAATAGCATCAACTCAAATAGACCTGGAAATCAATGCAATCAAGTAATGCAAAACCAAACAGGTTGTTAGGATGCATAAGAAATTAGGTGGTGAATAATGGAGAATGTCATAATGTCTTTGATCTGGGGTGAAGCCTTTATCCATCATGTGTGGTTCAGTATTGGTCACCTAATTTCCCCCTACCCTCCCCCGCAATACTGTAGGAATTGGGGGAGTGGTGGGGGCAGTTAGAAGGGTGATTGAACAAGGGTGTGGAGAATCTCAAGGAGTTTATAAGAACTGCATTGTTCCTCTTAAAAATACAGAAGCAGACACAAATGTGTAAAATGAGGAGTAATACGGAGAAGGGAGATGAAGAGCAGTTTGTGTTCTCACTGTTTCTTGACAGACAATCTAGAGGACATTCAATTAAAATGAAAGGTAGAAAATTTAAAAATCAAAGTGCTTTTTGCACAACAATTACATTGTGGAACGAATGACTGTATACAAATTGTGACAACCATGTTTAATTTCAAGGTTATTGTTCTCAAATTTGCTCCTCACTTCCATGTAATTGGAGAGCAGGGTCTGCCAGCAAAGAGAGTTTTGGGAGAAGCAGAGAGTAAAGGGTTACCTGATGCCCCCAGATTTCTTTTCCCTGCTGTAGTAGTGGGAAGGAGACAAATTCAAGGCAAACGTCTAATATTAGATTTCATACCTGGAAAATTATAACAAAATTCTTGACAGAGGAAGTTGAGAAAATGAACAAGAAGATGGAAGAAGTGAAGGAGGTCACAGTCTGAGTGGTCTCAGAAGAGTTTCTCAAGGATGTGAAATCCTCCAGCAAAGGCTTTCGGGAACTGCTGTCAGTACACAAGGGTGCACATGTGAAGCAGTCAAGAAAGTCAAGGAAGAACAAGGTGAAAATCATAACAGGCCTTTTTTCCACAGGTCTGCTCATTTCTGTATGTTTAAATATTGCTTTGTGCTTCTATGAGAATCTGAGAGCACTCAAGGGAGTGCACTCTCAATGTGACAAGGGTGCTTGGGATATAGTCCCTACTAACCCTTTTTCTGAGTCACTTCAGGTAATGGAACTCTGAAGCAAGACTGGCCTTAAAACTCCTCTAAACTCCCTTTTGAAACATGTTCCCTTCCAGCTTACTCATGCTTCAGAGATTTTCTATGTTTTGTGTGTGATAGATTATGGCAGTCCCAATCTAAGCGATGGGCAAGATCAAATACTAGTGATGGAAACTGTACAAAAGCTGTTTGAGATGTTCAACTTACTGGGCATGTCTACGTGTGAAATTAATTTGATTACATAAACTCTGGTACCGTTTGCACTGGAGCTTATTGCTCCTGGGTGCAGCATTTATAACATATGTCCGGGACTGCCTCATGTTGAGCCAGGGTGGCACAACGCTGGCTGGCAGGAAACCCAGGGGGTCAGCCTGCCAGCTCGGAGCTGCTGCTGCCTGGCTCAGTGTGTTGTGGAGGGGCTGACTGGGGCACAAGGGTGCTATGCTGCGGGGCTAGCTGGCAGGCAGCCCTGTATTGTAGCACCCTCATGCTCCAGCAAGCCCTGGTCACTGTCTACACATGCATTGTGGTGCACTAAACTCTACCATAGAATAGTACCTGTGTTGGGCAGTACTATCCTGCAACGGAGTTAATTACTTTACTCTGACCTAATAGCACTACTCCTGCAGATGGTGATGCTTTACTGAGGAGTTAATTAGGCAACTTGAATAAGTGTCGTGTGTAGATGCACCCATTGTGTTGAACATCTCCAACAGGTCAGCCATATGACTCCGCCTAGTGAACCAGCATTCCAGCTAACATACAAGAGCTGCACACATACTAAAGGGGGATCAGTACTTTGTGATGCTGAGGTCATGGGACACATTTGAGACTATTAAACAGGGCTATATAGACAGTGTTGATCCATCTGCAAGGAGTGGCTCAGCAAAATTACCAGATGGTGCCTTCTTCCATCTATTTATTTACTTCGTGAATGTGTTGCCCCCACAGATCTTCCACCCTCTGGTTTCTTGAGTTGAGGGCCACCAACTGGGCATGGGACTCACAATGGCCTCATCCTCCTTGCCCACTACTGTGTCGGTGCCCATGCCAGTGCTAGTGCCCACAGCTGTGGCTGCATCCACCATGCCCTCTACCTGGGACAATAACTGGACCAAGGAGGAGAGAGACAGCTTTGTGGCACTGTTGGGCGAGGAGCAGCACTAATCCAAGCGGGACAGGCACTCAGATGCCCCCATGTATGAGGCACTGTCAAGCCAGATGCAGAAGCTCAGGCACGATCTGTTGGTGCAGCAGTGCCACATAAAAATCAAGGTTATGCAGGCACAGTGGGTCGCCAAGACCAACTGCAATCATCACCAGAGGAGAGCCCCTTCGGGGGTCCAGCTCCCTGTTGTGCTGAGCTCCTTGCCTGCAATTTCCACCAACAACTCAGAGCCCTGGCCAGTACCTGCCTTGCCAACTCCACAGCCCCAGGGGCAGCCACAACATGCAGCTGGCCATGACACTGCTGACTGCCAGCAGCATTGGTTCCTGCCCAGGGGAGGCCCTGGCTCAGTGCCTGCACATGACACCCACCATCAGAGGACACTGGCTGGAGTCGCATGCCATCACCAATAGCCAGGACTGAGTGGGGCCACTGGCTGCGCCAGCCCTGGCCACGGGCTAAGGACCGCACTGAGGGGAGGGCCCTCCCCGACCTGGCCCCTGCTCCCCACTCCCCACCCAGTCCTCCCACATGCCCCTGGCCCCGGGTTCTACCCCCCTCCCCCCCAGCACACAGGGAGGCAGGAGACAGTGTCGAACTTTCAGCAGCCCATGCCCCTAAAGCTAGGCAGGCATGGGCCTCTCCTGCCAAGGAACATGTCAATGCTGGCAGCAATGTTCTCTTTGGCTGCAGGGGGGGTGCAGGGACGCATAATACAGCTACCGGTAGCCTTCCAGGTGGCAGCAGAGGTTGCAGGGCAGCCTGGACCTGCCCCCCGTGCTGTTGTAGCTCAGGGTCTCATACCAGGTATGCAGGTGCACGAAGGCCATTGTGGCAATCAGCAGCAGCAGGGCCTGGTGGGTCAGGCATCCCTTGTTCCATGCAAACAGCTCCTCACGCAGTGCCCATGACGTGCAGCAGGGGCACACTCAGGGCACAGTGCTGGTGCACTGGGGGGCTGGCCCTGGGCCACCTCCCTGGAGAGGCCCCCTGTGGGGAGGGTTGGGGCATGGGCATCTCCTCATCCCAGTCATACTGAAGTTGTGTGTCCCCCCTCCTCCCTCCCCCCACGGGAGCCCATGGGCTGGGCAGCAGCACAAGAGAGCAGCTGACCTGAAGCAGGAGTCGGGGGCGGGAGCAGGTTCTGGAGCCGTGGTAGCAGGTGCTGCCAGGAGCTTGGCCTGTCTTGCCTTGGTAAGAGGGCAGGGGAGGCAGGTTGCCTGCGGCCAGCACCCACCAGCCCTCCGGCCCCAGGGGAATGAGCAGGGTTGGGGGGCTAGGCTGGTGGCCACCTGAGCCTGGACCTGCCCACCCCAATGTACCATGGTCCCTGAGGACCCATGCATGCCTGACTCCCAATCTGAGGCTGGGAAGCGCATGGCTCCTGGTATCTTATCAGAAATGTTGCAAACTCTCTCACAAACATCTTCTGTCTTGTGGCTCTACAGGGCCCAAAGCTGCATGTGGGGGAGAGGTTGTCCTAGGCAGCTGGGATGCAGCCTCAGGGTTGTGACCACCCACAGCCAGGGAACTGCGGATGTGTCAGCTCCCTCAAAGGCAGACACAGGACTGCACCTTGTTCCTGGAGCAGCTGGTGGTGAGGTCGCAGGAGCGGCTGGAGGAATCACGGGCCTGGGTGGGGCAGAGGACGTTCCCCAAGAGGATGCACAGGACTGGTGCAAGAAGGTGCAGGGTCAGGAGTTCTAGGCAGAGCTCCTGGCCCTACAGCACAAGCAGATCCAGCTGCTGTAGGAGCAGAACGCCCTCCTGGTCTAGGCAGTGTAGGCCATGGATAATGACTGCTAGGTGCTGGACTCCATTCTGGCCCTGGCGGTCATATTCATGGCACCTACTACCCCACAACCTAGCCCTGCCTGCCCCCTGGCAGCTGCTTGCCAACCTGCAGCAAGCCCTCACCTGGGCCTGGAAGGAGGTCATGTGCTGCCTCCAGCAGCCAGGAGCCCCTGCCCCAAAACTAAACAGTTTTCAAGGTAGGTCCAAAACTCAGGTGAGTTGTCTTTCTATGAATGGATTCCTCTCACGGGAAACAGAGAGGAAGTTTATTCATGGGTTGTTAATACGGCTACTTTCTTAGTTTGTTTAGCAAAACATAATACAAATCAATTTTTGCTTATTTAGGACAGGAGGGGTCAAACCACAGCTCTGGGAGTACAGACACCAGGGTTCTATCCCTGGTTCCAATGCAGACATCAGTGTGCTTTTCTTCAAAAGTATTGTAGAATACAAATTAGCATATGCAAAGAGTTTTGGAAGTACTATAAAAGTGCTATCCTTAACAATTTTTACTCACCAAATTTTTTAAATTTTTTTTTAGCAGGATGATATTTTAAGATTCCTCCCAAGTAATGTACAAAACCTATTCCCTATAAAAGAGGCATGCTCTCTGGTTGAAGTCAAATACCAAAGGATACTCATTATACAGAAGACAAGTATCATTAATTCCTGTTGACATTCCATTCCCCAAAGGAACTTCTACACCCTCATAACTGATGGTGGCTGTGGGATCAGGTGCAGTTTTGCCCAAACCTGCAAAGGAGAAAGGGAGCATCAGTTACAAGTCTCAAATGCAAGCAGTCTTGTGTCTTGAAAAAACTAAATTCACGATGGCAATTTCACTCATCTATATAAGTGCGGTAGGTGTGTGCCATTCTTCACAGATTATTAAATGTGATACCCCTGCCCATAATGGTTTGCCATAGGAGACCTCAGGGGATCCTGTAATATTGTCCAATCTTTTTGTCTTGTAGTTTTACTTACATATGCCTCAGAAGGAAATAACCTACAAATGCCAGATTTTCTAGACATTAACACCTCTTTCTCCACTTGGAAATACTCTCCCAGTTTAGGAACTAACCACGGAGCAATTTTTCAAACCAGCTGCATGCTCCTATGCAGACAGTGTTTTCTTAACTTGCTTATCTGAATGTCATGTGGGACAGTGTCTAAAGATTTACTGAAGCTAGGATGGATCACGTCTACTGCTGCCAGCTATCCACTAAGGCCACCCAGCCTGCCAACGAATGACATTAGATTGGTTTGACAAGATTTATTATTTGGCGGCTGAATCTCCGAATTGAATCAGAGGACCCTTTAATTTCTCTGAATCGAATCGGAACCCTACGAATGGATTCGGAGAGATTTGGAAAGATTCGGAGATAGACACAGCTTTAAATGTTTTTTCTACATACCACTTGGTAGCAGGTGGCTCGTGAATGCTGAGATGCTGGGGCGGATGGAGCATCCCACAGGAGTGTGGGGGGCTCCCCAGTGCACTCAGTAGCAGACCCAGAAGTGGACCAGAAGCACTTCCGGTCCACTTCTGGATCCACCAGGGAGCATGCGGGGGGGCATGCTCCCCTGGCTCGGTGACTGGTGCTTCCTGGGTCCCTACTCAGAAGTCTTGTGCCCCAGCCTCCTAATAATTTTTGTTGCCCTCTGCTAGACTGTCTCCAATTTGTCCACATCGTTTCAGTGTACTTAATGAGAACATTAAGTCCACTTCCTCTGATGTAGGAGTCTTTGAAGTAAGTTTTATAGCATCATATATTGCAAACAGGCAAAGTAGACTTAATAGCTTAATACCTCCACAGCCTAGACAGTTGTTGTCCCTTCTGACACCAACAGTGATAACGGGATTTTTTTCCCCATGTTAGTCCCCTTGTGAGGCCAGCAAATAGCTTTTGTTATTACAGATGGAGAGAGTGGGATTGCTTAAATGGCTTTATGATTATTAACAATTCCTGATTCCTAAGTCTAAGCTCAGACCATGCTGGTTTGTTTCTGATATTTGGATGGAGTGCTTCACTGGGTGCAGTGAGGTTCTAGCAGACCTGACTGTCTTAATGTAAATAGTCTTCAGCAAATTCACTCCTTAATTCAAGTCAGGCTGCTTGTATCTTGAGATTCCCATCACGCTTTCTTTAGTGCTCCTAACCACTCCGCCACATTGGTTTTCAACCTTTTTAGACTCAAGGGCAACTTTTTGGAAAACGCCAGCTCTTAGTTTTCACTGTTGCTGACAATAGAACACTAGAGCAATTCTTCTATTGCAAAGAACTCAGAAGGCCTACAACAGGCCAGAATGCGTTTAAAGCCAAAAATTCCTTTTTGAAATCTCTGAGTTTATCTTCTGAATTATTTTTGCATACCTAACAGGGCTAACATTGTGTGGCACCCTGCAGCACTCTTGACAAAAGGTGCCACGACACCCTAGCTGAGAATCACTCCTCATTTTAGGTCAAATATCCTCCAGGTCAAAGCTAAGAGTAGAGTTACCAGGACTTTGCTCTTAAGTTCAAATCAGTACAAAGCAAGATTAAATTCTAAGCCTGTTATATGTAGTGACACTATTTTCTTCCTTATCTTGTTGTTTCCTTCCCAGATGTATTGTCTACAATGTCGCTCAGGTAAATCTGAAGTACCTGCTGAAACTGAAATTCAACTACAAGACATCACTCTAGTGAACAATATATAGAAGCCCTGTTCTCAAGTTATACCGTGGTTATGCTATAGCACTGACTTTTGACATGCTTAAGCATTGACTGCCCTTATCAAGATATCAAAGAACTAAGTTGCAGAAGAAGTTACTAAATTTGAATTTAGTAAATCACTTTAGTGAATTTTTTATATATATATATAAATGTGTGGCTACACATGGAACTGAATTCTGAAGAGAATGAATATCTGGTTCTGTCTTATGCCACTTCTAGTTTTTCGGTTGTCAAGTGTTTCTTTTAATACGCAGTAGACTAAAAATCAGGCAGAAGTGTTTTTAGCCAAGCAGAAGTGGGGTAGGAGAAATTACAGATGTTTATGAGCATTTGCCCTGTTAAAATGAATCATCACCCTCTTGTTTAAAATATTCTTTTTCAGTTTTGATTTTGAATAAATGTTAAATGTGCATTTATTTTGAGGTAAAAATAAAAGCCAATTTCATACTAACAACTCTATGTTGCAAAACTTTTGAATTCCTATGTTTGGTTCACAGTTGCAGGGTATTATTTTGTGATGCTTTTATGCACAGCATGTCTCTAATTATGGAACACTTGAATATTAAAACCCCTGGACACATTTCATTTTAGCATGGAGTGTAAAAACTTGGACTGCCCTTTGAGAAATGTTTTTTGGTCACTTGAAGTTGATGGCTAAACCATTTTTCAGGAATCTGAGGCTTAATATGGTAACTGTGTAGAAAAAACACCTGCACATATTGGTTTTGTTTAGTGGTGGCCCCAGAAAATCTCCCTGAAAACTCTCTCGTGTGGTAGGGCAAGTCTAGGTTTTTCTTCTCAACTGAAGACCTAATGATTCAGAGGATAGGTAAGTAGCTACAGCATCATAAGCTACACTCCCTATGACCAGGAAGAAGATGCAAGATCAGTCTCCTTGGATCGCGCAAGTCTCCAAGTAGAGCATCGCTGGGCGGTAGCTACCAGCACTCTAGCTGAGTTTGAGGGCCGGTGGGCACTGTCCAGCATGCTCTGC